ACAAACCAGTTCTGGTTCATCTGTTTCATTTAACGATCCGCTTTCGCTCTTCTCATTCTGCGTCACCGCCATGTGCGTATGTAAACAAAGGCACTGCGCATGCGCGTTTTACACATTTCATTTTCCTATCGTTGCCCAAAATTACACCGGTATTACCGTGAACGGTATGATATAGTTCAGCCCTACATGCAGTGTTATATTGTCCCACAAAACTCTTATTTATTATTTGTTTTCCTGATCATGTGGTGGCCGTTTTGTTCCAGTAGTCATGAACAACATTGCCACAGTAACATTTTGGTCTTCACCAACACCTGAGTAAAACAATTTGGTTGTTTCTGTGCTAAATGTTCTTAAGCATTCATCACCGAAACATCTACTTTTCATTTTATGCCGTTAAGTGTTGACGTGTTTTATAAACGCATTATTGTGCGGAAAAGAGGTGGAGGGCAGGGGTGAGAATGAACATTTGCGGTTGTAAATCAAATCCACTGAGTTGAGAGTTTCTACTATTCTCTGCAGAGTTTTTAACTTTTCATTAAAAACGCTCGCCTGCCTAAACCACACAAACCCCTTTTCTAGTAGTATGAATGGACATTTTCCTGCTGTGTGCCATTTATGAGAAAGAATATCTGTGGAAAATATTTGAAGTTCTTGTGTGAAAACATTGTGTGATCATGTGCGATATTGCCATCTGATCTATTGTTTGGATAAAATATTCACATCCAAACCCTTTTTAGGGTTTCATATTTTTGAATGTAAACACAAGGACGTGACAGGGATCTCATTTCTTGTTGCTTATGATTTAAGCCAGCTTTCCTACACTTCATCTGATGTGCCGTCATTTTTGTGACATCCCACTGCTGCATATGACATATTGTAGTTATTCATTACTCTGGAGCCCTTTCAAGAACACCCTGTTGGACCAAGGACCCCATTTTGCGCTTTGGAGGACTGGTCTGGCCTATAGCAGCCCTCCCTGTCACAAGCTGGGGAATGGCTCTTATTAGTGGCCCTTGCTATGTCA